CTTAATGCATTGTGCTCTCAGATAAAAATCCTAAATCAAAAAAGAGCAGTTACTATGATAATAACAGTTAAAACAGCATATATATGTTAGAGATCAGAAGAGGCTATAAAGAAATGTAAATACTTGTGCTTTGGGGCTTTTTTGATAAAGTTGTTTTAGTAATAAATACAAACTTAAAAAATGTTTCAGTGACTGTTATAAAATAGACACAAATATCAAGGATTTTCTATACTTGGTTTAGGGTTTAAAGGTGAAAAATCATCTCACATAAACCACCTGGCATCTGGTAATCCCAATCTGGGCTAGTCGCTTACAGTTAGGCAAGAGGCTGGGGAGAAAGATAAAGTGATTTTTTCTTCCTATCAACATAAAGCATTATCCAGAGGTAAAGCCAGGGTGAACGAACTAAACACATACCTACCCTCCTTTAGAATTCTTAGACCAAACAGAGGTCACCGTACTTTTATGAGGTTTTAAAAAAAATCCCACATAATTGGTATCTGGACCACAGTTTATTCTGTGATTCAGAAGATGAAATAAATATGTCCTGTGTTCTATGAGCTCTAGGATAAGCATGATTCCTTAGTACTTTGTGCTTTTTTAAAAACCCTCTATACATTAACTGTACAAGTCATTTTTATAAACATCATGGCAACTGTTTATAATGATAGAGGACAAAATATAATTTACATAGTAATGCTGATGTTCCTAGCCAGGAAATAAATGTAATTTTATTTTTATGCTGGTCAGTTTGCTCTTTTAAGCCTTTAACTTTGAAGAACATGTGACCTTAACAATTAAAGTAAATTAGAAAAAAGATGAGAAAATAACAAGTGCTTTTTTAAAGCCTTTTGCACAATAGATTTAGATATAAAAAGAATTTCTTCAAATAATTTTTTAGGTGTCACTCAGGAGCATCCTGCTGTCTGTAACATAATGTACTAGAGTTCTTTGAATAAAATTATAGAGTAATTTAAAATATATATTATACATTTATAATTATTGTAAATCATTCAATAGTTTATAGCATGTTAATGGAGTGAGACAGAGATAAAAGGCAGTCCACATTCATATTTTCAAGGTAAATTTACTTGAGAAGTCAATTGAGTTCCTTGCTCATGTTCTAAGTATAGCCATTGTGATAAGACCTGAAAGGGGAAAAAAAAGGGAGAACAGTTAAAGACATGCATTTTATAAAATCTTCCATTCAATGAGCAATTGTTTAGCCCTCAATGAGCAAATAAAAAATGGCACATAGGCAAACACTCTACCAAGAACTCAAAGTCAATTTGAATTTAGTTGATACTATACAGAAGAAATCCATTTACAGCAATGGGTAGTCACTGGATAGATTTAATTCACTAATGTCTGGCCATAGCTAATTTTTTTTAACAAATATACCTCCCACTTTGCTCAGTCACATCCACTATAATTGCAGACATGCCATCTTAAAGTGTCAATAAAGCCAGTTGACTTCATCAACAAAAACAATGCGGGTCCATTTGTATCCCAGGGCCCTAGGGCCACAAAGGGGCAGAAGCATTAGTATTCCTCCTTGGCTTGTCTCCTTTGAAGAAACTCCATACATAAAACCATAAAAATTTAATAATATACTCAGTCCTAAATGAGTATTAAAAAAACGTGAGCAATAAAGTACAGAGATGGAGAATAATTACCTGGGACTGGGGCAGTCAGAAAAGATACTCTAAAAGATAAAGTTGGAATCAGTCTAAAAGATGGACAGGAAAGCTATTGAACAATGAGATGGGCAGGCATTCAGGTGAGGGAAGGTCAAGGGCATGGAGGTGGGACTAGAACTCTAGATGAGCTTTTGAGGATCAATAAGTAATCTAACGGCTCTAATCAAGGACTTATGTAGGGCGGCAGCTAGACAAGAGTAACTCAGAGAGGTCTGAAACAGAGTATGGAGAGTCTTAAATGCTAAACTATGGAATTATACTTCATTCATGGACTATGGGGAAGCATTGAAGGTTTTTCAGTAGGGAGTGGTCGTAAAACCAAAACAGAATGGAAATCAATCTGACAGCAATATGATTGATGGTTTGAGGGAGAATGTAATGGGGGATAGGAATAGGAAGAGAAGAGACAGAAGGTAGGGAGACAACTGAGAAGACAATTTTGAAGTGAGAAAGAGAGAGAGCGCCAAGAATAATGAGAGAGTACTGAAAAGAGTTGGCATCTCAGGAGAGGTGAGAGAAGACTATGAGGAAAGAGTCGTTCATCACCAGAATACTAATCCTTGACACATAACTAAATTTTTTTCCTGAAACTTCTGAACTGCATTTATTAAATTTACAAAGCATTCAACATCATTAAACCTGAGCTCCAGAAAATATGAAGCAAGTTTCCTTTTTGGAAAATGATAACAAAACTCAAAGACTAGGTCAGAAGGGTGTCTGAGGCCAGTCAGAGCTGATAGAGTATCAAGTATTTTCTTTAATAGTCATATCTAAGAACATAGAACCCAGTATCTGACACATAGTAGGCTCTCGAAAACTTCTTGCAGATCTAAATCTGAGCAAGAGAATTATGGATAGTGATCTCATATTTCCATTTACATGAATAAATTTTCGTTCAGTTAAACTGATTAAGATTCCAAGTCAGGATGACTACAAGAATGACTTAACAGGAAACCAGAGAACTGCTTTAAAGAGTAAGTTCACAATATTAAACAAGGCTTCATTGTTCATCTTTATGACTGAATTTACTTTGTCTGTTTTCCTAGGATCAATTCCTAGAAGTAGAAATGTTGTATCATGGAATATATGTATTTTACACGTTTTATACCACTGTAAGTCTGCAAAAGGAAAATAATTGAATATATACAGTATTAAGTACTAGGATAAATAAGCTGAAAGGAAGTAAATGTGAGCCAAAAATTAAATCTTAAAATATACTTTACCTCAACATGCTTTTAAAGCAATCTTTTATGTTTTTCTAAAAAAAATCAATCTACTACCACCATCACCCCTATATACACATAAGACCACCACTACCACCTCCAAGCCATAAAAATTGCCTACAAATATGCCCCAAATGTATCTTTAAAACACTTACCTAAGATATAAGCAGCCACTAATTTTTGATTCACACTTAAGTGGAGGTAGAGAGGTACCAGCGATTCCACATCCCCCAGTGTAGGAAGCATCAGAGCTGCAATGCACACCACTCCCAGGAAGACAGTTAGTAAACTAGGTCCTGAGGAGACAGTTCTGCTATCTGTAAAAAGACAAAAATCCCTGAGCTTGCTCCTAAAACAACTTACACAAATGTTTTTTCACATACACTGTCCACCACTCACCAGGATTCTGATTTTGTCTAACTACTCTCATTCCCCCATTATTCCCACTCCATGGGGACTTACCTGCTGGACTTATCTGGAAACCTATAACTTCTGAGTCATTATAGGAAGGAATGTTGAAACAGCATTGTGAGGTAGTGAGTTC